TAGCTGTTTGGGCAGCGTGGGACAGGCTACTTTAGGTAGCAAGGCAAGCCAACACTCCGCCCACTCCTCCGGTACATCCGGGAGATGCTGTATCTTCTCGCTCAGCCACCCTGCCAGAACATCCGAACAAGCACGAAAGGCAGCAGTTGGAGGGAACTGTGGAGGGACAGCCTTCCCAACGGGGAGTGATGCAAGGCGTAGCTGGGCCTCTTCAGGAGATAGCTGAAGCATGGGTGCCGAATCAGAGTGCAACTTCGGTTCATCCGACGGCGCGTACAGGTCCTGATAGAAGCTCCGCAGACAGGTCAGCTGTTGTTTCGTAGTCCATACTTCACCCTGGGGTCCGCGCAGCTGCAGTCTACGCTTGGGCTGCTTGGGCATGAGGGTACCTGTGAGGCGAAAAAGAGTGCGAATGTCACCCGCCGCCGAGGCTTGCTCCATCTCCAAAACTTTAGCCTGGAACCATTGCTTTTTAGCCTGCCGGGATTGTCGGCGAAAGGCCTGGTGCGCCCGCCGGAAATGGGAATAATATCGCCATGCATCAAAGAGACCTCGCTTTCCATGCTGTGCCCGATAGCGCCATTGATGATAAGCCTCCCACATGGCTTTGACACTCAGGGTGACCGTTGGTTGGGTCCACGGCACTACTCGCCCTTGTTGCCTTCGTGCAGGAAAGATGGCACGAACCTGGTCCAAGAGACAAGTGTTGAGTTGAGTGACACTGCCATATGGGTGAGAGCGCAGGGCCCGGCATGAGGGGAAGGGAAGGGAAGCTGTGACCGCCCAATGTTTGCCTCCTCTTCGCCAGGTGGCAAGGGACCAATCATGCGGACATGACTGTCGGGCGACGACATCCGCCTTGTCACGGCGAACATAGACATGGTCGATGAGCGTGCGACCTTGCTCTGACCTAAAGGTGGCAGCGGCTGACCTGGTCCAGCTGTTAAGAAGAATCAAGCCATGGTCTTGTATCAAATTCTCAAGGCAGTGAAGATCAGCAACAGAAGGGCTGCGAAACTTATCCGCACGACTCCCCACTTGGCCCCGAACCAGAGGCGGAGGCGAGTTAAAATCGCCAGCCAACACCAAAAGGTGCCTACGGGGAATGTTGAGAAGGAGCGTGTGAAGAGCCTGCCATACAGCCTTGCGCTGGGCGGCTGGGGTGAGCTTCTGACCTTGTTCCTGTCGTGACAAGGAAGTATGGAGCACTTTCTGATATAGATTCACCGAGTCAACTGCCGTTTCTCCGACCTGTATGCGTATGTGAAGAAGGCGTCCCGGNNTCGGTGTTCACCAGGGTTATAAGCCCTCCAGCCATGGGCGACGGACTGGCTGAGGAGATGACAAGCCAGCCTTCCGTCTGATATTCTAAATCGCTCTTCCAGTGCGACTCCTGTACATGCACCACAGATGGTCGTGTGGACCGCGGCATCTCACGTAGCTTTAAAAGAAGTTCATGATACGCTTCAGTGGGTAAGCCGCCTGCGTTGTAGGTGGCGACGTGAAGTCGGGGAGCATGATGCGCAGACTGGGGGAGATCACGGCGAATCAACTTGGAGGACTGAGGAGACAAGACACGGGCCTGGAAATGACTCAGACAATGCCAACGGCCACGATAATAAGTGCCTTGTTGAGGATGCGCGGCCGCACGGCGAACAGCACGATTATAAGCACGCTTTGCTCCTGTAGCATGAGAGGCTCCAAGACAAGGGAGCGTCTCAAAAAGATGGAGCAGCATGAAGGGCCGCAGGAGCGGCAGAAATCCTGTGAAACTAGGGCAAAATGTGGACGTGGTTGTACGGGGTCGACGGCTCCTGAGAGCAGCGTCGATTGTGGTGATCCCAGGCTTCCCTGAGCAAGCGAATCCATGCAAGTGGGTCGAGGACGGAACGAAGCATGAGGATTCGGGAGCAGCAGGTTCAGGACGTGGTGGGAAACGTCCAACCCTCGGCTCTAGGGGACACTGAGGTACAGGCCACCGAATCTGGCCAACCAAGGAGATAGGGCAATAAGTCAATGGATCCTGAGTGTGTGTCCCCCCTCCGGACTTGGGACCGGAGTAGGCTCGAAGAAACAATCTGAGAAAAGGACGACAGCGAGCGAGCAATGTTTGCGCCGCAGATGTAACATGAGTGAAGACACCACGATGGCACGCAGTGAGACGCAGCCTCCCACTGACTGACATGGAACCCGACGATGGGGCGCGTACTTCGGGGGGCCATCCTGTGTGCATGTGGTGGCCGCATGACATGGGCACACTTCACAATACGGATGCAGGCATCTTAGCAGAGCTATGTGGAAGCCGAGCCAGCAGCTGCGTAGCCATGCCAGCCAGGGCAGAGCCCAGGACACGGACTGCTCAGGCGGCACGAATGGCAGCGATCGGGACCGGAGATAACACCATATAGTTCGTATGAGGACAGCTGTGGGCCTCCACGTAGATCGACGACGATAGCGTCGGCGATGGCGTCTCGGGACCTCAGTAAAGCGACATCTACGACGGCGACAGTAGCAGCCACGGCACAGGCCGCGGACTCGAACTGTATGCACAGAGTCGACAGGATCGGTAGTGCAAGGCACGGCACGAATAGCCCAAGTGTCTGACGCAGCAGTAGTATGAAGTTTCAGTGACGGAAGGCCTGCAAAGCGGTACAAGGTGCGGCACATGAGTGAGTCAGGTGCAGAAGCAGAGAACTGCTGCCACCCAGGCCTGATAAGACGGGTGGAGATGACTCCCACAGGATAGGCTACACAGAAGCCGGAAACAGGCAAGCGGCACCATGCCCTCAACTGGCAATTGCGGGAAGGGCACTCCAAGCACACACATGAAGGCTCCAACGTGGCAGGCAGGTCGGCAAGATGCCATAGTGGAGCATTTTCTGCCTCATAAGTCAAGAACAAAACGGCTCGAGCGCTGTGCAGGGCCGCCAGCTGCCAGGGTGGGACCTGAGATGAAGACCGTTCTGTTGGCAGACATGACGAGTGCTGAGGATCTGCCCCAATCAAAGGCAGCAAGAAGCACAGAGGCAAGGAACACAGGTTTTGCGCACAAGCAGGATGCTTCAGTGGCCCGACCTGTCGCACAGCAGATGGCGAACTACCTGCGTCCAGTACTGAAGAGATGAGTCGCCGCGGCGCGAAGAACCAAACCCATCGGAAGGTCACAGAATGCGTGGAAGTTCTCGGAGCCCAGGTCAGCCCAGCTGAGAGTAGGCGGATACAGTGACGTAGGCGAGGGAATGGTGTCAGCGGTTTCTGTCGGAACAGCGGCATTACGGTGAGCTGATGGCGGCGGGGCAGGCAAGCCTCGCCGCGTGTTGCCTCCCCTGGGAGCTCCATCACGATCAGCCACGGCGCGTGCCGCAGCTGGGGGATCCTCCAGTGGCGGCAGTCCAGCAACTTCACGGTGGAAGGAGTCATCATCATCATCCGATCCTTCCTCTGCACCGCTATGGTAAATGTTCTCCAGACCTTCAAGGCCACCACTGGAGCCTGATCCGGGGCCTCCAGGTCCTGCCACAGCTGTCTGATGGTTGGGATCCGGTGGCGCCACTTCCTCAGCCGCGCGATGCTGCTGGCTGTCCACAGTGTCCGGGACTCCTGACGTCCTGGTGGGCCGTTTCGACAGCGATGCAGATGTAGTGTCCTCTGCGGGTCGCTTGCGGCTCCGGGCACTAGAGGTAGTCGCCGCTGCCGGTCTCTTACGAGATGCCATGGGGGTCGTGCGAGAAGAGAGATACCCTGGACTAATCTAACCCCACAGGAGCAGAGCGTGGAGGTATGCTTGAGGCACAGTCCTGCAAGAAAAGGGAAGTTCATGCTCAAGGCGGCAGAACCGGAGACAGACACACTACTTGTGTGAAGAAGGACGACTCGACGATACAGTGCAGGGAGCATAAACTGAGGTCGCGGCACATCAGTCCATAGTGTGAAGGTCGAGGACGACAGCAGACGTACGGGTCTCCATGTGATCAGAGAGAATCTTATTGGAGCCTGCTTTAGATGGAGCAATCCCCGAACACGCAGCAGCGGAGGAGGCCTTGACCACGAGGGCAAGGACAGGTCTGGGTGGAGGCTCAGAAGAGCTGCCTGCTGTGGTACAGGCCGGATGCAAGCGATCTCGAGCTGCGTTCTGATATTGTGCATTGCCGATATCTGAGGGGGGTGCCCTGTCAGACATGTGTTGGTCTGGTCGTGGATCAGCCTAAGTCGAGAAAGCTGAACAAGGCAGCGAGCAGCAGAGCTGGACCAAGACGACGGCCCCTTTGGCCAGAAGTTTGGCATGTCGTCGAGCAGCCAGCTGGGAGGCACGAGCCCTAGCTGACCTGACCCATGTGTGCAGGCGCCGAGGGAGCCGGACATGAGACAGACGCAGCTCACGAGAGCAGAGTGGGCGACGGCAGCGGACCAGTGAAGTCCAAGCCGCTTTTCACCGAACCTGGGCGAGGGCAGTGGTACAGGCGGAGCTGTCAGACAGATATGAGAAGAGATCCAGGCAAGTAGGAGCTGACACACAGCATTCATGTATGCATCCCGAGACGAGCGAGCTGCATCAGGCACTGCGGGGTCTTCGACCCTAGGAATGTGGGAGCTACGCCCTTGCTGGACCAATCCCGCGTCCTCAGCTTCATCTTCCGACATGAACCAGATAGACTTGCCACGCGGGCGGGGAGGAGGCTCTTCCGAAGGCACCCGAGCACGTCGTTCCTTAAGCCGCTTGTTGATGGCCTTCCGAGCCCATTGAGGTATGGTCCAGGCCGAGGTTGTCGCCGTAGCTGTCTTCACAGCTGCATCAGATGCCACCGATGCCACCGAAGGCTCAGGCACAGGCGGCTCGGGTGGAAAGGCGCCATGCGAGGACGAAGCCGGTTCCGCAGGTGTAGCAACATCCGTGGCCGCATGATGTTTCATCGAGGAGCGATGTCGGCTGCGACTGCGGTGCCGCTTGGCGGTAGCCGGCCGTGTGGGATAATCATCATCATGATAGTCATGACTGCTCAGCCTGACATCTCCAGCCTGGATATAAATGGGCATCTCCTCCTCCGCCAGAGGTGCATTGGCAGCGGGCCCAGACATCCCAGACATCTCCTCCTCCGCCTCATAGCCTTCGGCTGGTGCCACAGGTTGCTCGATGTCAGGTTCCTCAATGAGGACTTCCTCAAAACTTTCGGAGCTCATCGTAGCAGCGTCCATGGCCTCTCCAGGGTCGACAGCAGTCGTAGCGTCAGTGGTGTACCTGGCCAGGGCATGGTCCTCGACGTCCTTCCTCCAAAAGAAGGAGTCAGCTTGTGGCAGATGCCTCCAACCCAGCAGCACCGGAGCCGTAAAGAGCGTCAACGGCGGTGGAAAAAGTTTCCACCTCAGTCGCAGGCCTAGCAGGCCATCGTCCTGGACT